TTCCCAAAGATCAGGCGAAAGAAGAAAGAGCAAAGTATTTTACCAACAGAGCAGCATGTTATGTAAAAATGGTATGTAATTTAATTTAGAGACAATTTTTGAGAGATTGTTGAAGAATTTAATGTTCATGAATGCAAGTAATAATTATAATAAATAGGCATTATTGTGACGACTTAAAGCCTGTGAAAATTCAAGGGTGAATTATTCCCTTGCTTTCAAGTCTGCAGTTATTTTGAAGTTGATTTGAAATTCACCTTATTAAAAATAGTTTTTCACCTCGGGCTCAGTGAATTAACATTGGTGAATATTTACCTTGACTTCATCTTCAGTTGGCAAATATTCATGGTTATACTTCGCCCTCAGCAAATAAGTGTTAACACTATTTAGTGAGTGTGTTGTACAGGGCTGGGAAAAAAAAAAAAACCCTGTCAGCTCGCCCAGGACAAGAACATCTTCCTCTCGGGCAAGTAACTTTTTCTGTGCNACGGCAAGGCCTCAGTTTGAGATTTTCCCGTAACGACCTCACTCTCGGTTATTAAGTAGTTAGTAATACAGTACCGCTTGAATATAAGCTTATTAATAACCACTTTTTGAGTGGCATTAACTAAATCCATTTGTTTGTCAAAAAGTCATTTCAGAAAGACAGTTTGTTAATGCTTTATTTTCTTTTTCTGACCTTAGCACTGTTGATAAATCCACACAGTGAAAAAGCCAGGTATAGACTAACGCAGGCCTTGAGAGGAGAAGGTAAAATTGCTGAGGCGTTCATCGAGGTAACAAGCTTATATCAAAAAAATAATAAGGTATGGCTCTTAATTGAACACTTTATCATTCAAGTTACAACACTTAAATTAAAGAGAGTGACATGTAGTCTTGATTGGGTGCTTGCGTATTAGATGACATTTAAAAGTTGTTAATATTGGTGACAAACATTTTCCACTGATTGTGGTATTAATACATTTAGTTCATGCTGTGTGGAATGTTTTGTCATATTGCTATATTAGGGTTCATAATAGTTAATTAGAGTGAAATGAATAGGGATGACAATGACATGTTACATACCCATTATCTTCAGATTGTAACTCTAAGAATTTCAGAAAACAGGTTTCAGGCCTGTAATATTTGTGGCAATATTAAGGTTGAAATTTTGAAGGTATGAATTCTTTCCTTTGAATGGGAAACCTTTGCTTTAACTAATCTCTTACACTAAAATGACCATAAAGCAAAATTGTGCTGTGAGCGTGTATGTAGTTCCAAATTTAATTTGTGACGTCCTTCCATGGACTTTCAGTAACCTTGGTGATAATGCCCTGGTGATGAAACGCATGTGACACATTCCAATGGTTTTTGCATGACAGACTTAGCGTGTCAAGAATGTTGCTATGTGGGTATTTAAAAAGTAAAACAAACGTTACTGTTTACAGTGTTCCTGTTAGTCTGTTGTTCTTACCTGAGTGACATGGAAAAGCTTGTATTCTTGACATGGTAGAAAAGGGCTAATTGTTTCTTGACACAGCCAACACATTCTTCAGACTTTTAGCATGCAGTAGCCAAATTTCTATGTGTTAAGATTTGACGATATTACAGTCAAAGAGTAAAAATGAAGGAGTGCTTCCATTATGCAAGAGTGACCGGTCAGAGACTAGTGGGCTACCCGAGGAAAAATGGAACGACATTTTC